TTGACCAGGATGGTCTCGATCTCTTGACCTCGTGATCCACCTGCCTCAGCCTCCCAAAGTGCTGGGATTACAGGCTTGAGCCACCGCGCCCGGCGACAATTCTTTGCCATCTTTCAGAAAATCCCAGTCTTCCATGTGGCTCTGGAAAGGAGGAAGGCAACAAAACATTTGGCATTCTCTCCTAAAGCATTTCCATTTTCTACAGGTGTAAATGCTTGTTAGGTTTATGTGTTAGGCAGAGAGCTTTGAAAAGATACCTCTTCTTTGCTTATTTAGGAATGAAAAATTGATGGCTCTGGTAGCTTTCCTAAAAGAATGTATGTTTGCGTGATTTTTGTCACTTCAATGTGTTTCAAAGTGTTATTATAAAAATAAAGCAAAAACAATCTAAAGTCTAGCAATAAAAAGAATAATTAATGTCAGCCTCGGTGGCTCACACCTGTAATCCCAGCACTTTGGAAACCTGAGGTGGGTAGATCGCTTGAACTCAGGAGTTTCAGCCCAGGCTGGGCAACATGGTGAAACCCTGTCTCTATCAAATATACAAAAAAATTAGCTGGGCATGGTGGTGCATGCCTGTGGTGGTCCCAGCCACTCCAGAGACTGAAGTTTGGAGGATCACTTGAGCTCAGGAGGCAGAGGTTGCAGTGACCCAAGATCATGCCACTGGATTCTGTCTGGGTGACAAAATGAGACCCCATCTCAAAAGAAACAAACAAAAAGAAAAGGTGGGGCCAGGCACAGAGGCTTATGCCTGTAATCCTAGCACTTTGGGAGGCCGAGGCGGGTAGATCACGAGGTCAGGAGTTCAAGACCAGCCTGGCCAAGATGGTGAAACCCCATCTCTACTAAAAATACAAAAAAATAGCCTCGCGTGGTGGCAGGTGCCTGTAATCCCAGCTACTTGGGAGGCTGAGGCAGAGAATTGCTTGAACCCAGGAGGCGGGAGGTTGCAGTGAGCCAAGATGGTGACACTGCACTCCAGCCTGAATGACTGAGACTCTTTCTCAAAAAGAAAGAAAGAAAGAAAGAAAGAGAGAGAGAGAGAGAGAGAGAGGAAGGAAGGAAGGAAGGAAGGAAGGAAGAAGGAAGGAAGGAAGGAAGGAAGGAAGGAAGGTGGTGTCTCCCACTCCAAAATAATTTAAAAGACCAAGTGCAGTGGCTCATACCGGTAATCCCAGCACTCTGGGAGGCCAAGGCAGGTGGACCACGAGGTTAAGTGATCGAGACCATCCTGGCCAACATGGTGAAACCCCATCTCTACTAAAAATACAAAAATTAGCTGAGTGTGGTGGCACTCGCCTGTAGTCCCAGCTACTTGGGAGGTTGAGGCAGGAGAATCACTTGAACATGGGAGGCGAAGGTTGCAGTGAGCTGAGATGGCGCCACTGCACTTCAGCCTGGTGACAGAGAGAGACTCTGCCTCAAAAAAACAAAAACAAAAACAAAAGAATTTAAAATTAAAATTAAATTTTAAAAAAGAAAAAAACTATAAATCCACATGTTAGACTATTACATTATCAAATATTACATTTTTGTTACTAATGACCCACGTAAATACATGAAATATTCTCACAATAACAACATTAAAGTGAAAGAAAATCAAGGCTTGTAAGTAATATACTATTTTCTCATTCATTCAAATATTTATCAACCACCTAATATTCATTAGGCAATGTGCTAGGTACTCAGCCAAATTTTATGTAAGAGCTTTATTGAGTGGCCATTGACATACAATAAACTGCCCATGGTTAAAATGTACAGTTTGATGTTTTTGACATATGCATACACCCAGGAAATCTTCACCACAATTAAGATAATAAACATATCCATCAGCCCCAAAAGTTTATTCATATCCCTGCCTGTCACCCTTGCTGCCTGCCTTTCCCCATTCCCAAGCAGCCATTGATTTTGATTTGTCACTGTAGGGGACTTCATATTTCCTAGCTTTTTTTTTTTTTTTTTTCCGACACAGGGACTTGCTCTGTTGCCCAAGCTGGAGTGCAGTTTTGTGATCACAGCCCACTGCAACCTCCACCTCCTGGGCTCAAGCCATCCTCCCACCTCAGCCTGTTGAGTAGCTGGAATTACAGGCAGGTGCCACCACACCTAAGTTCTTGAATTTTTTTTGTAGAGACAAGGTTTCATTATGTTGCTCAGGCTGGTCTTGAACTCCTGAGCTCACGCAGTCCTCCTTCCTCAGCTTTCCAAAGTGCTGGGAGTACAGGCATGTGTGACCATGCCCAGCCTAGTATTTCCTAGAGTTTTATATGCATGGAATCATACACTGTACATTCTCATTTGGCTGTTTTTTGTTGTTTTTTTTTTAACTCAGCATAGTTATTTTGAGATTCAGCCATGTCATTGTGTTTATCAACAATATGTGAACACTGCTCCAATATATATACTGATGAATTAGCATTTCAGGTAAAAGGAATATATCTATATTATATAAATATATACATATAATATATATAAAAATATATTTTATAACTCAGTGTCTATTGTGTACAATTACCATAATTTATTTGTTTATTCTGCTGGTGATGGACGTTTGGGTTGTTAGAACTTTTCAGCTCATAAAAATAAAGCTGTGGGCTGGGCCTGGTGGCTTTGCTCATACCTGTAATCTCAGCACTCTGGGAGCCAAGGCAGGGGGATTCCTTGAGCCCCAGGAGTTTAAGACCAGCCTTAGGAACATAATGAGACCTCATCTCTACAAAAAATAAAAACAAAAATAGCCAGTTGCTTTGGCCTGCACCTGTAGTCCCAGCTACTCAGGAGGCTGAGGTGGGAAAGTGGCTTGAGCCTGGGAGGTCGAGGGTGCAGTGAGCCATGGTCATGCCATTTCACTCTTGTCTGTCTCAAAAATACTCAAATAAAACTAAAGCCGTGTAAAAAAA